AAGAAAGAATGTATTATTATTATTTTCATAAGAAAAGAAACCAACCTATTTTCCTTGAAGCAAAGTTTTCCTTGAAGCTATTGCTATGTAACAAATTGGCTCCAAACTTAGCAACTTAAAATGTTTTCTTTTCTTATCAGTTTCTGGCTATCTAAAATCCAGGAGTGGCTGGTGGGTTACTGTGGTTTGCAGTGTCCAGTGAACTTGAAATCAAGTTGTTGGCTGGGGCTGCAAACACCTGAGAACTTGACTAGGGTTGGAGAATGCATTTCTTTTCTTTTTTAAAAAAACTATTTTTACTTTATGTGTATGAGTATATTGCTTGCATGTGTGTAAGTGCACCCGTGTCATGCAGTGCCCTAGGGGGTCAGAAGAGGGTGTCGGATACCCCAGAACTGGAGTTAGGGACGGCTTTTAGCCACCGTGTGGGTGTTGGGAATCAAACCTCTGCAAGAGCAGTCAGCACTCTTAACAATTGAGTCATCTCTCCAGCATGGAAAATGCATTTCTAAGGCAGCCTGCTTACATGTCTAGCAATTAATACTGGTTGTTGATTTTGGTCTTAGTTCTTTATCAGATGGACTGTCCATTGGGACTACCTGAATGTTTTTATTGCAGAAGACTTAGCTTCCACAAGGTGTGCATTTCAAGAGAATAAAAAGCAGAAACCACAGTGTCTTTTATAACCTAACCTCAAAAGTCATACTTGGTCACTTGTGCAAAATCCTACAGGACACTCAGGTTAACCTTATTTAAATGAAAGGGACGACACAAAAGTGTGGTTACTGGGACATGAAGAGCACTGAAGGCTTAGTTCCTGGTTATCACACAGTTACATAAGAGATTAAAGAACTATAACCCCTCTCTCTTTTAGCCTTGAGGAACAAGATGCTCCCATGAAAAGAACAGAAAAGTCATTTTCTAGACCAGTGGAAAGCATGTAATTATTAGTCATATTTTTTTTGTATTCAGAAAAAGATGTGAAATTGTGTTTGGAGGCTGTTAATTCCTCAAAATGAGGTGTGTATGGTGTTTATATTCAGAAAAATGTGAAAATGGGCTACAATGTGACCACTCTGTTTTCTCACATGATGAGAAGGGTATCTCTCCCTCTTTCTATAGTACACTAGTAGAGAACGGGACATTTGGCCTCAATATGTTACAATTTTTATATATTTATCAATCACTTATCAAAGCTTAAGGTACTAAATAGTAATCTAGAAACTAATACTTAGTAACTTCCAAACTACACTTGTGTATTATAGCTTCAAACTACCAAACATGCTACGTGGAAGGCAGAAAGTCATACACACTCAGGTTTTCATAGGAAAGGCATGAAAATGAAAAAAACAAAGGTGAGACCTTATCAGTTAATCCCTTGAATAGATGCAAAGGTGGAAGAAGAGAACCAACACTGCAAAGTTGTCCTCTGACCCCCACACGTGCACTGTGGCATGTACACACACACACACACACACACACACACACACACTGATACATTTAAAACAATTTTTTTGAAGTCTTAAGCTCTCTTTGTACTTTGTGATGTGGCTGCAATATTAAGTTCCAAATGTACTTCAGTGACGGTGCAGGTCAGTGGATTCGATCACAACAGTGTACACAGCGCTTAAAGAAGGCTGTCACTCCTTGGAAGGCAGAATTCTTTAGGAATCCTATACAGGGAGCAGTAGTCAGGAAGAGGTTAGCTGTGGACTCGCTTCACTGGTGGAAATTATTGTAAGTCAAGAAATAATACAGAGCCCAAATTCCATCTTAGAATCCTTTTGGGTCAAAAGTATGCAGACAGGCAGTGTGGTGCACGCATCATATATTCTCTAATATTCTCCTCTGGAGTTTGGGCAATTGATCAACTGTATCAGTACTTCTGTAGTAAAATATGAATACTCACAAAGTGGAACAGATAGGACCATAAAAATCAAACCAATTCAAATCAGGTTTTTGCTGTTAAATAAGCTTCTGAAAAACAGGATTTTTTTCTCCAGTTTTCAGGATTTCAGATAAGGGATTTAGAACTCACTGTCTACATTTAAATCCAGTAACATGTCATGTCATTGTGAGTATTATGATAAAAAGAATTCAGTACATAAGGGTTTGGGGTGTTACTTCCACCAAACTTTATGGCCTAATCTCAGTAACTAAAAAAAGGGGGGAGGGTGGAATGGGTGTTTATCATGTCCCATTAAGTTTTTAAAGCTGTGGGAATTAACTCTGTAACAAGCAGTGAACAATATTTCCGGATTATATCTGATCAGGGTCTCAAGATAACTGAAGGATGACCCGTCTGACTCTGGCTTTCTGACTGTATCTTAGTTCCAAGAAAAAAACACCCAGGCTTGCTGAGGCTGAAGATAGCTTGGGCAGATTGGACTCTCCACATCATCCCAGTTCATTCTTTTCTTTCTGAGACAGGGTCTCCCTATAGCCCCCGCTGGCCTGGAGCTCACTATGTAGATCAGATTGGCCTTGAACTCGCAGAGATCCACTTGCCTCTGCCTCTATCCCAGTTTATTCTTAAAAGAATGGAAACGGGTAAAGGCATGTTCTAGATAGGAATAGAGGAACCTCTACTCCACAGAGAGGGAAAACAGGACGGGGTAGGATAATAAGACTAGTAATAAAATTTGATATCTTCTCTTTTGACTTCTGTGTGCACCAAAGAGCTGGCCTTTAAGCCACCAGACCACAAGCTTAGTGGGATGGTCTTTTCCTCAGCATTACCTCAGCATAATCATCAGTGGTGCCCATTCTATTCTCACATGTGTCCCATTTAAATAATGAAGTATATGCTGATCCACAGAGTAGGGCAATGAGGAACTTTTCCCAAGGCAAAATAGCTGCAAGGGTCTGGAGCAACATGTGTTAAGGCCATGTTGAGAGTTTCAGTGGCAGCGGGTATGGAGTAAAGCTGAAAGCCCTGACAGATCAACACGACCTGCAGGGAACAGCGGAGGCCATAAGGTGTCACTCTTTGGTTTAGTGCTCAACTCAAGAGAAGCCTCCACCT